CTACATAAACTCAAGTTCACTTTAGTAAATATCCCGACTCATATTTGCTGGATTGTAACATTTGAGGGTTTTTCACTACCGTGAGAAATGCTAAAATAGGAATTTAAATAGAATTTAAAATTTAAGTTAAAATAGCAAAATTTAGTAATTTCCTTTTACAGTTTGGCAATTTTGGCCTTAAATTAGATTGTAACCTTCTTGCAATTCTTACTTTAGTGAATAACCTTATAACATGTTAATTACCAGCTCTGTGACTGCACCCTGCAGCTTTCAAGGGCAATTAAACAAATACACAAAATGAGATCACAGAGTAAACCCTTATTATATCCATATCAGACTGACCAGACATTTTGTCACTGCAATATATATCTTTTCTTGGGGTGTTGTTTTTAACAGTATTACCCTGTGTGTTGTCTACAATACCTTTTTCCAAGTTACATCTATAGTTCCTTTTTTTTTGTGAATTAAAGTTTTATTAGAATTCAAAAGCAATATCAAAATGCAGAATAGTAAGACATGCAGGTCTCTGAAAGTCGCAATTTCTCTCTTTTATATGGCCATGCAGGGAAGCAGGAAGCAAATCAATACAAATTATCAATTACAGACCTTGTGTAAGTCTTTGGTAACAATAGAAATAACAGAATGCAATAACTCAATCAACGTGGGTGGCGTGGCCCTATGTGTTCTGTGGGACCGTGCTTTACTGTATAGTGCTCGAAGGTCATGTCAAAAGGAATAAAACAGTCAAAACCTATACTCTTGCAGTGAAAAGGGTATGACTATTAATTATTCATTAAAATTAGCATCTCAATGTGCCGTCTCCAAACAACTTCCCATGTGACAACGGTCCCGTATCCACTCTCTGAGAACTCCCTCATGGGGGTGATCCGATTGGGAGTAACAGATTTGTTAAAGTAGTGGGGTGTCAACCCCTGTCCCGCCTGGATCGGTGACCCGAGACCTTCAACTAAGTCTGTCTCTGCTCTTGAGTGACATCTCTCTCATCTCCTAGGTTTCCAAATTGTCACTCCTTTTAGCAAATTCTGAAAGTCTGCGTAGTAGACCGTAGAGTGTTTAATATTCTGACAGTTAAAGATTTCTTGTATATGGCCGTCGGTGTTGTGTAGGAGGAAGGC